GCTGCTGCTGCGCCTGCTGCTGCGCCTGCTGCTGCTGCGCCGCCGCCGCTCTGCGCTCGCGCTGCGCTTCACGCGCTTGCGGCGGCTCCCCCGCTTCCCCCACCTGCTGCTGTCGGAGCTGCTGCTGCTGCTGCTGCTGCTGCTGCTGGGACTTCGCTGCCGCTGCTTCTTGGGCCCCGCTGCGTCTCTTCGCCGCCGCCGCTGCTGCTGCTGCTGCTGCAGCAGCAGCTCTTCGCGCTTCTCCAGCTCGCGCTGCAGCGCACGAAGTCTTGCTTCTTTTTGCTGAATTTGGAGCTCCAGATCGCTAAGGACTGCTTGCTTCTGCAGCTCGGGCTGCTGCTGCTGCTGCTTTGCCTGCTGCTGTTCCTCCTGGGGTCCGTGCTGCTGCTGCTCTCCCTTTTGCAATCCTTGCTGCTGCTGCTGCTGCTGCTGTTTCTGCTGCTGCTGCTCCTCCACGGCATGCTGCTGCTGCGGAGCCTTCTGCAGCTTCCTGAGAAGAGCTGTTGTGTCTTCTTCCTCGTCGTCGCTGAGGCCAATGAGAAGCAGCCCGCGCTGCGGCTGCTGCTGCTGCTGCTGCTGTTGCTGCTTCTGCTGGTGCTGCTGCTTTTTTTCTTCCTGCTGCTGCTGCGATACTTTAAAAATTGAAATCTTTGGCTCGGGCTCCATTTTAATGGGTGTTGGAAGGTGCTGCTGTTGCTGCTGCCGCTGCTGCTGCTGCTGCTGCTGCTGTCGAGCCTGCTGCTGCTCTTCAGAAACAGATTCGGGTATTGACCCTTGAAGGCAGCTCCCAGTTGCGCCGTTGCAGCTGCTGCTGCTGCTGCTGTCCGTGCTGCTGCTGCTGCTGTCATGTTCGGCTTCGTGGGCAGCGTGCTTCATTTGGCTGCCTATGGGGCTTCCCCGTCCCATGACGCCGCTGCCGCCGCTGCTGCTGCTGCTGCTGCTGCTGCTGCTGCTGCTGCTGCTGCTGCTGTCGTGAGGAGTACGTCTCGAGTAGATGTTGGCAGATATCCGAATGTTTTCGTCAGCTGCAGCAGATGCCACTTCTGCTTTGCACTGTACATACGTCTCGGGTGTTTTAAGAGTGGGGCACCCCGGAGTACCTTGCTGCTGCTGCTGCTGCTGCTGCTGCTGCTGTGGCTGCTGTTGTGTTTGCTGTTGTGGCTGCTGCTGCTGCTGCTGCTGCTCGCTTGAAGGCTCTTGCTTGACCTTTCTCCACAACGCGGGACACTTCCCTTCTTGCTGATACTGTCCTTCCGACCTCTCCTGCAGCAGCTCCGCTTGCTGCTGCTGCTGCTGCTGCTGCTGCTGCTGCTGTGGCAGGGGCTCCATTTTTACTGGGCTACTGTTCTCACCTGTGGGTTGTTTGTGTGCACCTCCTGGAGCGTGTGCAGCTGCTTCAGCTGCTGCTGCTGCTGCTGCTGCTGTCGTCGCTTCTGCTGCTGCTGCTGCTGCTGACGTTGCTGCTGCTGCTGCTGGCGTTGCTGCTGCTGCTGCTGGCGCTGCTGCTGCTGCTGCTGCCTCTGCTTTCACGAAGATCTGCTCCGTCTTGTGTGTGTCCCTGAACTCCGTTAAGTGAGGCATGGCCGGCAGCAGGGGCAGCAGCAGCTGCAGGAGATCTGCTTGTAGAGCGTCTGCGACGTTGCGTCTGCTGCTGCTGCTGCTGCTGCTGCTGCTGCTTTCTTGCCTGACAACAGCCAGCAGCACCCGACAAGGCACAAGAGCTGCGGTGTCTGTGACGCGCCAATCTAAAAAGTGCGCAGCACGACTCGGGGGGATTGCCTCGCTCCACTTCTTCGCCGGCTGCTGCTGCTGCTGCTGCTGTGGCTGCTGCTGCTGCTGCTGCTGTTCGTGCTGCTTCTGCTGCAGCGCAGCAGCAGCAGAGGTCGGTGGCGGGCAGAGGCCAGCCGCCACGAGTTTGTCTGCGCGACTTAGGAATGCTGCTGTTGCTGCTCTTGCTGCTGTGGCAGCAGCAGAAGAAGCCATTCTGCTGCTGTCGATCAAGTCCCTGTTGTGCTGCTCCGAAGTGTACATACACCGCGGCCACGGGGAGAAGCCCAGGGGGTGCAGCAGACACTCCAGCAGCACCTGCAGCCGGCAGCCAGCCTTCTGAGCAGCAGCAGCAGCAGCAGCAGCAGAGTAGCGGTGAGCAGCAGCGCATAACCCGCGAAGCAGCAGCAGCAACGGGAGCGGCGGCAGCAGAAGCAGCAACGGCAGCAGCAGCAGCAAGAGCAGCAAAACAGCAACTGGCGCAGCAGGGCCGGCGCTGAGGCGGCTCTTCGCAGCGCGTGCGGCAGCTGAGGGTTTAGGGTTTAGGGTTTAGGGTTTAGGGTTTGGGGACCTGGAGGTGGATGTAAGGAGCGAAAATAGGGTCTGCTGCGTAGGCAAAAGAAGGAGACACAAAGAGGGCCCCCCGGGTGTGGGGTTTGCCCCTGAGGGGCCCCGGGGCCCCCACGGGGGCCCCCCTGGCGGAGGAGGGCTGGGAGTCGATCCCAGCGCGGGAGCAGACGATCCCCGATCCCGCAGCAGCAGCTAAGAAGGCCCCCACATCCTCGGGGGCCCCACAGCCCAGGCAGCTGGCGTTGACTGGGAAGTAGCAGGGGTAGAAGCGGTGGTAGAGCCAGCCGCTGCAGCGGGCGCAGCGGTAGCTGCTGCTGCTGCCCGCTGCTGCTGCTGCTGCTGCTGCTGCTGCTGCGCGGGCAGCCACGCTGGTCAGCGCTGCTGCTGCTTCCGAGCTGCACAAACAACCCAAACGAGCTGCCTGCGGACAGTCCAGAGGAACAGAAATGAAGTGAAGGGGCCTCGAGAAGGGGAGGGGGGGGGCCCCCGCGGTGTACGTACGCCCGGGGCAGGCTGCGGGGCAGCACGCGCGCTTCCCGCTGCTGCTGCTGCTGCTGCTGCTGCTGCTGCTGCTGCTGCTGGGCGCCAGCCTGTAGCACTCCAGCGCGTCCAGGCGCAGCAGCTCCACTGGGATGCCCAGGCAGTCCCGCAGCAGATACGGCACAAGGCGCTCAGCCTTGCATCTCCCGCTGCTGCTGCTGCTGCTGCTGCTGCTGTCGTTGCCGCTGCTGCTGCTGCTGCTGCTGCTGCTGCTGGGCTGGCTGGGGGTGGGCCCCCCTTCCTGGCAGTCGACACCCATGGGAGTCCTCAGCGGCTGAGTGTGCAGAGGCGGAAGTAAACAGACACAGAAAGGAAGGCTGGCTGCGCCATTAAGACTACCTGCTGCTCCCGCTGCTGCTGCTGCTGCTGCTGCTGCTGCGGCTGCGGCTGTGGCTTCCCAGCAGCAGGGCTCCGCAGAGCTGCCTACACGGGGCTCCTTGAGAAAGGAACAAAGAAGAAGATGAGCAACAAGGCAAGCAGCCACAGCAGCAGCAGCAGCAGCAGCAGCAGCGGGGGGTGGTGAGGTCGTCGGGACTCCGCTGGGGCTGCCAGTCAAGAAGGCAGCCGGGGGGCCCCTGGGGGCCCCCGCCCTCCTCTTCCCTTTCCATTTTATAATTTTTAAAAGTTACAAATAAGAAACGATCTAATAGCAGCAGCAAGGGACCAGCAACGCCTGCGCTCAGTGTTTCTGAGTATCGGTCCAGCTGCCGCCGCCAACGCTGCTGCTGCTGCTGCTGCTGCTGCTGCGGCTGCTGCTGCTCCTGCGCCGTAGAGGATCCGATTCAACCCCCACAGCTGCCGCTGTCACCCTATCTGCATCTCACTTGAGCTTCCGTCGCAGCTTCTCAGTGAGCCTTTAAGCTTTTCTCTCCCAGCAGCAGCAGCAGCAGCAGCAGCAACAGCAACAGCAGCAACAAGGACAAGGAGGACTCAGACAGGCGTCGTTCCTCTGAAATATGGGCTCGGAGGGGCTCATGTGGGCCTTGTGTGCATATTCCAGAAGAAAGTAGCAGCAGCAGCGCAGCAGCAGCAGCAGCAGCAGCAGCAGCGCAGCAGCCACAGCAGCAGCTCTATTGCAGGTGTCTTGAAGATGTCTGTGGCCTGCGTGTGCTACGTGGGGCGGCAGGTGCGTCTTCAGCACTTTCTTTCATTGTGACCTTAGATGCTGCTGCTTTATATCCTTGCAGTTCTCTCTCCCTTCTCCAGGGCCCCCATGGCTGTTGCTGCTGCTGCTGCTGCTGCTGCTGCTGCTGCTGCGGCTGCTGCGGTTGCTGCTGCAGAGCGAGCCGCTTTGCTTCCGCGTGTACGGGGACACTGAGGAGCTCCCGATGCAGTTTGCTGCTTACGCAGCCCTCGACGTCATCGACGAACGCCGTAAGGCCCAGCCCCCCTCCCTGCTTCTGCTGCTGCTGCTGCTGCTGCTGCTGCTGCTGCTGCTGCTGCTGCTGTTTGTCCGTCGCTGCCCAAGACGGTGCGGTTTTGTTTGCTGCTGCACGCCGAGCCCCCCCACCCGCGCCGCCTGCTGCAGCGCCGCCCTCCCGCCTGCGCCGCTGCCGCTGCTGCCGCTGCTGCTGCTGCTGCTGCTGCTGCTGCTGCTGCTGCTGCGCTGCGCGCAGTGGCCAGCGAGCAGCAGCCGGGGGCCCCCGGGGGCCCCTCCGGCGGCGACAGCTACCTGGGCCTCGCGGGGCCCTCGCTGGGCACTGCGCAAGACGCCAGCCTCTTCGCCTACGCCGCCCCCACGGGCCTGAAGATCATTGTGGCTCTGTCTTTGAGGGGGGCCCTGCAGGAGCAGGAACTCCGCGCCGTGCGCCAGCTAGCCAACAGCTAGCCAACAGCTAGCCAACAGCTAGCCACCAGCTAGACTAGCTAGCCACCAGCTAGACTAGCTAGCCACCAGCTAGACTAGCTAGCCAACAGCTAGCCAACAGCTAGCCAACAGCTAGCCAACAGCTAGACTAGCTAGCCACCAGCTAGCCACCAGCTAGCCACCGGCTAGCCACCAGCTAGCCACCAGCTAGACGGCGGCTAGAGGGCAGCTAGCCACCGGCTAGCCACCAGCTAGCCAACAACTAGCCACCAGCTATCCAACAGCTAGCCAACAGCTAGACGAAAGCTAGAGGGCAGCTAGCCAACAGCTATTCACCAGCTAGCCACCAGCTAGCCACCAGCCAGCAGCTAGACGGCGGCTAGAGGGCAGCTAACCAACAGCTAGCCACCAGCTAGAGGGCAGCTAGAGGGCAGCTAGAGGGCAGCTAGAGGGCAGCTAGCTAGCAGTTAGGCGGCAGCTAGCCACCAGCTAGCCACCAGCTAGTCACCAGCTAGAGGGTAGCTAGCTAGCAGCTAGCTAGGCAGCTAGTTACGCAGCCAGCTAGCCCAGAGAGCCAGCGGCAGCTCAGCTGAACAGCTAGCTAGCCGCAGCTAGAGCTGCAGCCAGCTAGCTCCAATGCTCTTGGGCAGCTAGCTAGAGTTAGCTGCGCAGCTAGCTAGCTTCGTGAAACAGATAGCTAGCTGGAGCTGCCCACCTATCTGACTAGCTAGCTGGAGCTACCCACCTCCCTAGCTAGCTAGGTAGCCGTAGCTGTTATCTGGCTAGGAGCTCAGGTGCCGCTGGCTAGCTGGCTAGCTAGCTAGCTAGCTGGCTAGCTGGCACTAGCTTGCTAGCTAGCTGGCTAGCTAGCTAGTTAACATTGCCGTTTACCCAGCTGGTTAGGTCAGTGGCTAGTTGCGCAGAAGGCCAGCTGATATATTATAGCGCTGTGTTCGAATTAGTGCCGAGCTAGCTGGGTGGCTAGCTGGGACCAACTAGCTAGCTAGCTAGCTAGCCAGCTAGCCAGCTAGCCAGCTAGCCAGCTAGCTAGCTAGATAGCTAGCGGGGCTCTAGTGAGGGTGCGCTCGCCAGCACCCGCTGCGCCTGAGCATTGGCTAGCTGGCAGGCAGCTAGCTGTTGCCCCGCCCCTGTGGCGCTACCTCATGCTGCTGCTGCTGCTGCTGCTGCTGCTGCTGCTGCTGCTGCTGCTGCTGCTGCAGTTTTTCAAGAGACTTCACCGGCTGTACGCCGACGCGGTCTCCAACCCCTTCTTCCTGGACACAGTCGAGACCCCGCGCTTCCTGAGTCAGCTAGGTGAGTCTCAGGCCCCTGCCTAGGGTTTAGGGTTTAGGGTTTAGGGTTTAGGGTTTAGGGTTTGGACGTGTCGTATGTGCGCAGACGCCATTGTGCAGTACTACACCGACCGCCTGGAGACCCCCTGAGGACCCCGAGCAGCAAATTTGATCTTTTTAAAGAATTCATTTTGCTGCTTGCTGCTTCAGCCTCTTGCTGCAGCTTCGCTGCGGCTCTCTGCTGCTGCTGCTGCTCCCCGCAGCCGCTGCTGCTGCTGCTGCTGCTGCTGCAGCGGCTGCTGCTGCACCAGCTCGTTGCTGGAGGCGAAGGCCTGTTGAGTCAGAGTCACTTCCTCGCTCCCTGAAGCTGCCCCGACGGCACTTTTTCGCACTGCAGCAGCAGCAGCTGCTGCAGCTGCTGCAGCTGCTGGCCCCGACGGCACTTTTTCGCGCTGCAGCAGCAGCAGCTGCTGCAGCAGCTGCAGCAGCAGCTGCTGCTGCAGCTGGGTGTTGCCATTGTGCGCAGCGCGCCCTAAACCCTAGCTCCCCAGCTGCAGCACTTGTGTTTGCTGCCCGAAGCAAAAGTCTTAAACCCTAATTTCTTTTAGCGAATAGCTGCAGCCCCTGCTGCTGCAGCTTCAGTGCAGCAGCATTTGGGAGGGCGCCAGGACTGGGACTGAGGGTTTAGGGTTTAGGGTTTAGGGTTTGGTCAAACGAAGTATCTGAGTTCCTCGAGCTGGCTGCCAACGTCCCTTCACAGCAACGCAGCTAGCAGCCCCAGCACCCCCTAGGGTTTAGGGTTTAGGGTTTAGGGTTTGCATCCAACGAGGTGTCGGAGTTCCTCGAGTTGGCTGCCAACGCCCCTAGTAAGCATCACCGCCACAGCAGCGCAGCTAGCAGCGGCAGCCCCACCACGACAAACCCCAAACCCTAAACCCTAAACCCTAGGGTTTAGGGTTTGTGAAACTGCGTGTCTGGGAGCCTCGAGCTGGCTGCGAACGCCTCTCGTAAGAAGCCCCGCGCCAGCAGCGCAGCACGCAGCCCCCACGCCGCCTTCCCCTGCAAGCCCCAAACCCTAGGATCTAGGGTTTAGGGTTTAGGGTTTAGGGTTTAGGGTTTGGGTCAAACTAAGTGCCGGAGTTCCTCGAGCTGGCTGCCGACGCCCCTAGTGAGCAGCACGGCCACTGCAGCACAGCTAACCGCCACAGTCACGTGGGCCGTGATGACCACTGCTGTTGCGTAGTAGAAGAAATAAGCCTTCCAGTCGCTGCAGCCTTCTGCTGCTGCTGCTGCTGCTTCCAGCAAAATGGCCCGCGAAGAAGTCACCAGCACCAGCATGCCCCAGCCCGCAGTGCACAAGTCCGCCACGGCCATTGACATGGTCACTAGCGTGGCCACTGCCCACTCCCGCTCAGTGCCCCACGTCTCGCACGACAGCAGCGAGAAGTAGAAGATCATTGCAAACGCCACCGCTGCAGCAGCAGCAGCAGCAGCAGCAGCAGCAGCAGCAGCAGCGGGGGGGGG